AAATCCAGCTCGCAGGAAAATCTAATTTTGAAATGTTACTCTTTCAAAAATTAACCCTCGTTTAAATATCAGGTCAAAAAATGCATTGCGTTGCGAAGGATTTCTTCTGAATTTATGGCGATGGTAGCGAATTTAAGAAGATGGTAAAATGTCTTGCAGACAAAAGATCATGGAAATTGTTGGACATCGAACACCTGTAGTTCGTTCCACTGTGACTCAAAAGCTCATCTTTCAAGTACTGATTTTTAAATCAGATATCAAGACTTCATTTAAAGATCGACGCAACACATGTTACGGTTTTTTGGGTATATACTATATATAACTAGTGAGCGAGTCAAAATGACTTATTTCCCTTCATAGTCGACCAATAGAAGGTTGACCATCAGAAGCCGCCCAACACTGTATCCGTCATGTATAAAGGCGGCCATCTTTGTTTTCCTACCAACCCGACCAGAGGCAACTCGTCCGGCGAACAGGACAGACGGAAGAACTACGCTCTGCTACCTTGCTGCGATATCCACTGCGAACCTGCACTACGCTTTCCTACTGTCTCCGAAATATTCACTGCCAACCTCTGGATTCTATACCCGAGGACGACAATCATGAAAATATCTAACAAATGTCTAACATATGTCTAACAACACAGTCTTCATAATTTATTTCTTGTAGCAGACTAAGCTAAATTACATTCAACAGAAACGTCTTTAACCGTCACTTAGTTCCACACACACACACACACACACACACACATATATATATATATATATATATATATATATATATATATATATTTTTTTAAAAAAAACAGACCACTTTAAGGTTCCATTATAATAATTCATTTCACCGTTAAACGAAATGAATTTTTCGTTTCATTTTTTGGAAGTGCTATCTGATGATCCGGCGTCCTTTAAAAGGGCTCTGGTGAAATAAATTATTATAATGTTACCTTAAAGTGGTCTGTTTTTTTTTTAAATTTATATATATATATATATATATATATATATATATATATATATATATATATAAAATTAAGTTACACTCCCTGTTAAATTACAAAAACTTACACTACCCATCAATTTTAATTTCATCTTTCGTTTCATTTCATTTTTTGGAAGTCCTATCTGATGATCCGGCATCCTTTAAAAGGGCTCTGGTGAAATAAATTATTATAATGGAACCTTAAAGTGGTCTGTTTTTCTTTCAAATATTAGCTCTGGATTTACATTGAGCTCTCAGGTTTCATTCTCCTTGGGACTACCCATACGGATTACCAAGTTTTTCATAACTTCACTATATATATATATATATATATATATATATATATATATATATATATATATATTTTGTGTATTTAGGCAGTAATCCTTTTTTCATGCATGTTTCATTGAATGCGACAGACAAGGTGCTTTGATTTAGTTTTTATACAATTTCTCATGCGATCTAATCATTTTTTCTTCTTTTCGGACGAGTAGTCGCAAAGAGGTGATCTCATGAAGTTGAGCGTCAGAGATTCTATTAGGGGGCAGGGAAGGTTCTCTGTGGGGATTAAAAGAGAGCAGTTTTGTTTTGGAGGCATTAAAGTTAACCAGCCAATTCCTGCCCTAGTTCACAACCGATTGGAGGACCTTTTTCTAGACAAACGACCAGGTTAGTTTTGTCAAAGACACTAGATTTTTTTTTTTACTGAGGCAGGAGTAAGTTGTAGTGTCGTCCGCGTAGATGCCAACTTGGAAATCGATACATGCTCTGCTAAATTTCCCGCTAAAAAAAAATATATTCCAACTTATTATCAGGAAAATTTCAGATAAACAACTGCCGAGAAAGTAGCAGATTTATTGTCAATATGTTTTCCAAGATTTGCCTTTATTTAATCGGGTTCATTTTTGTCAGGCGTCTCTTTATACGGCTAAATTTAACCTATAAAATCCTGTTTTCTTGAAATATACAACGTTTAGTACAGTCAACACACGACAAAATCAATATTATATTTTTACACACACACACACACACACACACACATATATATATATATATATATATATATATATATATATATATATATATATATATATTGATTTTGCTGTGTAGAATAGGGAACGAACTGGAAAGATATTAAGGTTTTATCAGAGAATGAAATAAGGAGCAGAAAAAGAAAGAGAAAGCAAAATATTTTAGTGTTTTAAATTGTTATATTGCTTTTTTTTTTCATTTGTTAAACAGCCTTCACGAATGTCTGTCTTGTCCAGCGGGTGTATTGTTCATCTGTATATGTGTATCATAATTCTATCTCTATCTATAAAAGGCAGGATGTGTGTGTGCGTGCGTGTGTGTGTGTGTGTGTGTGTGTGTGTGTGTGTGTGTGTGTGTAACGAATGCACGGCCGCAATTTACATGCACATGCTCCAAGTTAGCGGGAAGGCCAAGACCGACATTGCATTTCCCAACTCCCATCGATAGTGGAAATAATCGATTTTTTCATGCTTCTACGGCAGTTTTCTTGTAGTTTGCGGCCATTTTCTACTGGCCAGAGTGAGAGCCTATAGCTGGCTGCCACGAATAAGCAGGAAAGATTCTATTGGCCAGCGTTAGAGCCAACAGCTGACTGACACGAATGTTAACTCGCAGTTAAGGCAGTGGAGAACTTGAAGAAGGGAATTAACAGGAGATAACAGATAACTGACATCCATTAAAACATGGCACGTGGAACTAGAACAGTCTACCCCAGTGACCGAAATAAAGGGTTCAGTTCCACATTCAAACCACCTGAAGAAGGCCGGAGCGTACAACGGCCGAAACGTTGTAATAATTATGGCGACAATGATCAGGTCAATAGTCCGAATAATGTAAATAGTGATCATAATTTTTTTTTTTCTATGGCGCGATTCGGGTGATAGTGTATATCCGTTTGTAATAAGTGTCCAGTAGGCATTTTTATTTATGTTTGTTGATGTGTTGCGTGTTGATGTGGGGACGTTTTGAGTGAGGGTCGAAGAATTTACGCCACACACACAGATGAATATACATTATTGCCATTTTTGTTTCGTCTAAATGCGAATTGACTATCGTTGTCTAATGGATGACCGGTGATGGCATAAGAGTTATCTTTACACGCCATTTTGTTTTCTCACGTATTCTATCATTAGCTTTCTCGTTATCATTGCTATTCCTCTCCTTACTATTTACTTGTTTGTTTCTGTTACAAGACTATCTGTCCGGCGAGAGACAACGAGAAGAAAGCATTTATCAAGAGGCGATGACGTTTTGACCAGCGAGAGACAACAAGAACAAAGCATTCAAAATGCGATCACGTTTTGTCCAGTGAGAGACAACGAGAAGAATGCATTCATCAAGACGTGACGACGTTTTTTCCAGCTAGAGACAATTAGAAAAAAGCATTCATCAAGAGGCGATCACGTTTTGTCCAGCGAGAGACAACGAGAAGAATGCATTCATCAACACGCGACCACGTATTGTCCAGCTAGAGACAACGAGAAGAAAGCATTCAAGACGCGATCACGTTTTGTCCAGCGAGAGACAGCGAGAAGAAAGCATTCATCAAGAGGCGATCATGTTTTGTCCAACGAGAGACAACGAGAAGAAAGCATTCAAGATGCGATCACGTTTTGTCCAGCGAGAGACAACGAGAAGAAAGCATTCAAGATGCGATCACGTTTTGTCCAGGGAGAGACAACGAGAAGAAAGCATTCATCAAGAGGTGATCACGTTTTGTCTAGCGAGACAACGAGAAGAAAGCATTCATCAAGAGGCGATCACGTTTTGTCCAGCGAGAGAGAGTGAGGAAAGCATTCATCAAGAGGCGATCACGTTTTGTCTAGCGAGAGACAACGAGAAGAAAGCATTCATCAAGAGGCGATCACGTTTTGTCTAGCGAGACAACGAGAAGAAAGCATTCATCAAGAGGTTTTGTCCAGCGAGAGAGAGAGAAGAAAGCATGATCAAGTTTTGTCCAGCGAGAGAGAGAGAAGAAAGCATTCATCAAGAGGTCGATCACGTTTTGTCCATCAAGCGAGTCCAGAGAGACAACGAGAAGAAAGCATTCTTCAAGACGCGATCACGTTTTGTCCAGCGAGAGACAACGAGAAGAAAGCATTCATTCATCAAGGCGAAAGCTTTCACGATCACGTTTTGTCCAGTTTTGAGAAGAAAGCATCCAGAGGCGATCACGTTTTGTCCAGCGAGACAACGTGAAGTAAGCATTCATCAAGAGGCGAACACGTTTTGTCCAGCGAGAGACAACGAGAAGAATGCATTCATCAAGACGTGACCAAGTTTTGTCCAGCTAGAGACAACGAGAAGAAAGCATTCAAGACGCGATCACGTTTTGTCCAGCGAGACAGCGAGAAGAAAGCATTCATCAAGAGGCGATCATGTTTTGTCCAACGAGAGACAACGAGAAGAAAGCATTCAAACGATGCGATCACGTTTTGTCCAGCGAGAGACAACGAGAAGAAAGCATTCAAGATGCGATCACGTTTTGTCCAGGGAGAGACAACGAGAAGAAAGCATTCATCAAGAGGCGATCACGTTTTGTCTAGCGAGACAACGGGAAGAAAGCATTCATCAAGAGGTGATCACGTTTTGTCCAGCGAGAGAGAGAGAAGAAAGCATTCATCAAGAGGCGATCACGTTTTGTCCAGCGAGAGAGAGAGAGAAGAAAGCATTCTTCAAGAGGCGATCACGTTTTGTCTAGAGAGACAACGAGAAGAAAGCATTCATCAAGAGGCGATCACGTTTTGTCCAGCGAGAGACAACGTGAAGTAAGCATTCATCAAGAGGCGAACACGTTTTGTCCAGCGAGAGACAACGAGAAGAATGCATTCATCAAGACGTGACCAAGTTTTGTCCAGCTAGAGACAACGAGAAGAAAGCATTCAAGACGCGATCACGTTTTGTCCAGCGAGAGACAGCGAGAAGAAAGCATTCATCAAGAGGCGATCATGTTTTGTCCAACGAGAGACAACGAGAAGAAAGCTTTCTAGATGCGATCACGTTTTGTCCAGCGAGAGACAACGAGAAGAAAGCATTCAAGATGCGATCACGTTTTGTCCAGCGAGAGACAACGAGAAGAAAGCATTCATCAAGATGCGATCACGTTTTGTCCAGCGAGAGACAGCGAGAAGAAAGCATTCATCAAGAGGCGATCATGTTTTGTCCAACGAGAGACAACGAGAAGAAAGCTTTCTAGATGCGATCACGTTTTGTCCAGCGAGAGACAACGAGAAGAAAGCATTCAAGATGCGATTACGTTTTGTCCAGCAAGAGAAAACGAGAAGAAAGCATTCAAGATGCGATCACATTTTGTCCAGCGAGAGACAACGAGAAGAAAGCATTCAAGATGCGATCACTTTTTGTTCAGCGAGAGACAACGAGAAGAAAGCGTTCAAGATGCGATCATTTTTTGTCCAGCGAGAGACAACGACAAGAAAGCATTCTTCAAGAGGCGATCACGTTTTGTCCAGCGAGAGACAACGAGAAGAAAGCATTCAAGATGCGATCACGTTTTGTCCAGCGAGGGACAACGAGAAGAAAGCATTCAAGATGCGATCACTTTTTGTCCAGCGAGAGACAACGATAAGAAAGCATTCAAGATGCGATCACGTTTTGTCCAGCGAGAGACAACTAGAAGAAAGCATTCAAGATACGATCACGTTTTGTCCAGCGAGAGACAACGAGAAGAAAGCATTCAAGATGCGATCACTTTTTGTCCAGTGAGAGACAACGAGAAGAAAGCTTTCTTCAAGAGGCGATCACGTTTTGTCCAGCGATAGACAACGAGAAGAAAGCATTCAAGATGCGATCACGTTTTGTCCAGCGAGAGACGACGAGAAGAAAGCATTCAAGATGCGATCACTTTTTGTCCAGGGAGAGACAACGATAAGAAATCATTCTTCAAGAGGCGATCACGTTTTGTCCAGCGAGGGACAACGAGAAGAAAGCATTCTTCAAGAGGCGATCACGTTTTGTCCAGCGAGAGACAACCAGAAGAAAGCATTAATCAAGACGTGTCCACGTTTTCTCTCGTCGCACTGGGGCTGGAGACCGCCTGTGAATCTAAATTCCCACTGAAACAGCTATGGATTTTCACGACACTGCTACTCTAGGCCAGCTTTCGTTCGGATACGGCGGCTTCGTAACGTTCGCAAGGCATTGGTCCTGGCCTGCCATCTCGACTAAAGTCACTCTCCCACCGCCTTAATGCAGCTTCTGTAGCGTTTTTAGATATACTTTCTTCGTAAATGTTCTGTTGCACTCTCCTCTATAATACCTAGACGGCCTTCTTCGGGTGGTTGGAATGTCCAACTGAACCCTTTATTTCGCTCACTGGGGTAGACTGTTCTAGTTCCACGTGCCTTGTCCAAGGACACATGGCACAGTTGATGAAGGCGTTGGTTAGATCCAGTGACAAGACTCAAAGAGTGTGAGTTCTGTTACAAATTCATGACGGTCGTCTTCGAGTATAGAATGCAGAGGTTAGCAGTGAATATTTCGGAGACAGGAGGAAATCGTAGTTCAGGTTAGCAGTGGATATCGCAGCAAAGTAGCAGAGCATAGTACTTCCTTCTGTCATCTTCGCCTGACAAGTTGGCACTGGTCATTCGGGTAGGGTAAACAAAAATGGCCGCCTTTATACACGACGGATATTGGTTAACCTTCTATTAGTGGACAATAAAGGGAGTTAAGTCATTTTGACTCGCTCACTAGTTATATATATATATATATATATATATATATATATAAAAAACTGTAACAAGTTCAATACCCGGTTAAGGCAGTGGAGAACTTTCAGAGGGAAAATTAACAGGAGATAACTGATAGCTGACATCCATCAAACGTGGCACGTGGTACTAGAACAGTCTACCCCAGTGAGCGAAATAAAGGGTTCAGTTCGACATTCGAACCACCTGAAGAAGGCCGGAGCGTACAACGGCCGAAACGTTGTGATAAATATGGCGACGAAGATGAGGACAATAGTCCGAATAATGTAAATAATGTACAATCTTAATCGTTATTTATTGCTCTTCTGATTAAACTTTTATTGTTTTTGTGCCTTAGTAATGCTTCTCTGTTTTCTAACCCTTTGCGTCTTAGTGGCTTTACCGCCTTACTCGAGGTAAATTAGACTTAAAGAAATCCCACTGAATCTCCTAGTATGGATCTGCACGACATTGGTAATCTTTCCATTAGGATCCGCTGGGTTCGTTTGACGGAGACGGCTCAAGCGATCTCGAGTGAATGATGCAACTGGTAATGGAGTCATTGCTGGAAATATTTCGGAATACATTTCAGTAATTTAGTCACATGTTCAATGTCAGAATATTCGTGAATGTTTGTCATTTCGGGGGAGTTTTCAGGGTTTTTTTTAATTTTTTTTTTTTAAATTTACAATAAAAAAAATGGATCTTGGTATTAATAATGATTGAAGATTTTTTTTAAAAAAAAGGAAGAAAAATAAGAAAAGAATGAGAAAAGAAAAAAAAAAGCGATCAACAAAAAAATAGAAGGAAAAAAAGGAAAATAAAGAAGGAAACCAAAAAAGATAAAAGAACGACCATAAGAATGAAATAAAAAAAAACAAAAAACAAAAGGAAACGAAAGAAAGAAAGAGAGCACGGTGAAAGAAATAAAGAAAAACAATGAACGAAAAATAAAATGAAATAAAGAAAGAACAAACGACAGAAATTATGGCAGAAAACCTGAACGAATAAAAAAGAAAAAAGAAAGAAAGAAAAAAGAAAGAAAGAAAGAAAGAATCATAGGAAGGATAAAGAGGACAAATGAATGAAATCCGACACGAAAGAAAGATCGTATAAAAGAAAGAAAGATTAAACAGAGAAAGAGCGAAAAGTAGAAAAACAAACGAAAGAGAGAGAGTGAGAGAGAGAGAGAGAGCAAAGGAAAAACAGAACAAAAGAAAAAAAGAGTGAGTGAACAAAAAAAAGAACAAACGAAAAAAAAGAATACGGACGAAAAATGAAAAAAAAAACAATAAAAAAAAAGAAAACAGACTAAAATCAAACGAAATGAAAAAAAAATTGATAGTAAAAGTAGATGAATGAAAAGAAAGATTAACAAAGAACGAAACGAATGAAAAACAGCGCAAATAAATGAAATTAAAGAAAGAACGAATAAAATAAATGAAAGAAATTCAAAGAATACGTGACCGAACTAAAAGAAAGAAGCAAGGAAAAGAAGAGAGAAAGAGCAAAGCAAAGAAAAAAAAATGAAAAAAAGAAAAAGGAATTAGAGAAAGCAGAAAGCCATGAACTCAAACATGACCGAAGCAATAACAGAAAAAAAAAATCAACGATGAAAAAGAAAAATATGGAAGAAAAATGAAAGAAAATACCTAATTAAAGAACAAATAAAAGAAAGGAATAGCACATGAAAGCAAGAGAGAGAGGGAAGTAAATGGAGAATATGAGAAAGAAAGAGAAAGGAAGCGATAGAAAGAAAGAAAGAAAGAAATGAAAATAAAAAAGAACGAAAAAAAAGAATGAGCGAAAAAGAAACAAAGAAAAACAGAAAGAAAATTAAAACGAACAAGAAAAAAAGAAAAAGAACGAAAGAAGAGAGATAATTAAGGAATGAAAGAAAAAAAAGAAGGGGATTTGAAATGAAGGTAAGAGAGAAAGAACTGAAGGGAGAACAGGAGAAAGACAGAGAGCAAACAAAAGAAAGAAAGAAAGAAAAGAAAGAAATGAAAATAAAAAAGAACGAACAAAAAGAATGAGCGAATAAGAAACAAAGAACAACTGAAAGAAAATTAGAACGAACGGGAAAGAAAGAAAAAGAGTGAAAGAAAGAAGTAGAAAAAGAATAAAAGATAAGAAAGAGAGAGAGAGAGAGAGAGAGAGATGGTGAACAGAAGAAAGAAAGAAAGAAAGAAAGAAAGAAAGAAAGAAAGAAAGAAAGAAAGAAGTAGTAAAATAATAAAAGATAAGAAAGAGAGAGAGAGAGAGATGGTGAACAAAAGAAAGAAAGAAAGAAAGAAAGAAAGAAAGAAGTAGTAAAAGAATAAAAGATAAGAAAGAGAGAGAGATGGTGAACAAAAGAAAGAAAGAAAGAAAGAAAGAAAGAAAGAAGTAGTAAAAGATAAGAAAGAGAGAGAGATGGTGAACAAAAGAAAGAAAGAAAGAAAGAAAGAAGTAGTAAAAGATAAGAAAGAGAGAGAACAAAAGATAAGAAAGAGAGGTGAACAAAAGAAAGAAAGAAGTAGGAAAAAAATAAAAGATAAGAAAGAGAGAGAGAGAGAGATGGTGAACAAAAGAAAGAAAGAAAGAAAGAATGAAAGAAAGAAAGAAAGAAGTAGTAAAAGAATAAAAGATAAGAAAGAGAGAGAGAGATGGTGAATAAAAGAAAGAAAGAAAGAAAGAAAGAAAGAAAGAAAGAAAGAAAGAAAACAAAGAAAGAAGTAGTAAAAGAATAAAAGATAAGAAAGAGAGAAAGAGAGAGATGGTGAACAAAAGAAAGAAAGAAAGAAAGAATGAAAGAAAGAAGGGAATGAAAATGAAAGAGAACGAACAAAAAGAATGAGCGAAAAAGAAACAAAAAACAACTGTCAGAAAATTAGAACGAACGGAAAAGAAAGAAAAAGAATGAATGAAAGAAAAAAAAAGAGAAGAAAGAAAAAGTAGAACGAATGAAAGATGAATAACCATTGAAAGAAAACAGGTCAGTGAACGAAAACCAAAAAGAAGGAAATATTTAAGAAGGAGAAATCAAGCAAATTCACAATGAAAGAAAGCGAGAACTAAAAAAATGTCGAATAAGAAAAAAGAGACTCTTAATAAAAACGATAATAAATGGACGAAGAAACGAATAAACGATTCAAATGATGAAAGAAAGAACGGAAGAGAGAACAAGTAAAGGATAACGAAAACATAATGGATAGGATCGGAAATGAAGCTGTTAGGGTACTGATGGGTACTGTGAAAATTGAATAAAACGAAAGTAAACAAAAGAAAGAAGCGAAGAAAAGTGTTTATCGTCCTTCCACACGTCATTTGGTGACAACTTCCTTCCAATTAGACCCATTAAAAATGATATAATTACCCAGGAAGCCGTCGGAACCGAGATGTTTCTAATTCCATCTTCTCGGGGCAAATTAGGCAATAAGGCGCTGCCGTCAAAGAATAAAAGACACGAAAAATGGATAAATAAATAAATGTCCGATAACCTTTAAACTATACGAAAACTTCTTCAGTGTATCAATCAGTATACTATTTACATTTCTTCAAAGATTTAAATGCAACGTCAATCACCATCTTCAGTTCTCTTGAACTCTGTTCCTTTACCTCCATTATATATATATATATATATATATATATATATATATATATATATATATATATATATATATAATGAACATGCCAACACCCTTGTCTGGTTGAATTGGATTTCTCTGTATCCTTGGAAACGTGAATTATGATTTTTGCTGTGTCTTTAAAACCCAGTAATTTTAAAAAAGTTACTCCAAAATTCGCTTGAGGATAAAATGGAACTAATGTCTTTAATTTAATTAAAAATTAAATTCGAGCTTTCAGCTTCCATTTTTGAAACATGGTTAGAACTCAGTAGCGAAAAAAACATATTTTAAATCAATTAATCTATAATATTAATGCTCTGCAAATTTACATTGAGCACTGTTTTGCAAAAATAAAAATATCTATAACAACACCGGATTAGATATCTTACTGTTCTTTCTTTTTTTATTTATACATATATATATATATATATATATATATATATATATATATATATATATATATATATACACAAACACACACACACACACACATATATATAGGGAGAATGATATTAGTTATTGATATATTTTATCTGTCTATATTTCTGAGATGAGATATTATGTACACTATTTACATTAACCGGACTATTGTCCTCATCTTTGTCGCCATATTTATTACAAGGTTTCGGCCGTTGTACACCTTCGGCCTACTTCAGGTGGTTGGAATGTCGAACTGAACCCTTTATTTCGCTCACTAGGGTAGACTGTTCTAGTTCCACGTGCCATGTCTAATGGATGTCAGTTATCAGTTATCTGTTGTTAATCCCTCACTTCCAAGTTCTCCACTGCCCGTGTCACGTGGAACTAGAACAGTCTACCCCAGTGAGTGAAATAAAGGGTTCAGTTTGACATTCCAACCACCAAACGCTAACCCAATCATACTAACAATATTTCTTGCACCAAAACAACACATTCTCACCATACCCACCATAATACCTCAATGACACCATGAAAATACTAACTAGACCCCATATGTACACTCTGTGGTCTGTGGGTGGGATTAAAACAACAATTTAAAAAAAAAATTAAAATGTAACCCCAATGAGTATTTACAGTATGAAACAAGTAATTATTTACAAGAAACTAAACAAAATCGTGTTAGTAATAAAACCCCTACAATCACTAAATATGGCAGAAATATCAGTTAACTAGACGAAATTAATGCGGGACTATAAAAATTAAAAACATTCATTCATCCCAAGCACTCACACAGACATGCACAAAAACGATCAAAAAGTTGTTTCACAGATTTCGTCAAGGTTACTTAAACCTAAACGACCAACAAATAATCGACCAACTGAGACTGCAAACGATGTACCGATGGTGTGGAGAAGTTCAATTCCTGCGCGCGATGACGTGTCTGGATTTATGGCCACATTCTCTGGCACTGGAGCAATGTTTTCAGCTGAAAATTTGAGCGTCTCATCAGGTGGTGAACAAAAATGGTTACAACCATCTTTGTTCTACTTTTCGTATTGAGTCCTCTTTTAAATTAATATTATGAACGTTTGAATTTATATAGTGTGACCCCACCCCCCAAAAAAAAACGGGAATTTTTTAACAATCCAATAAAACCAAGAGTGATGGAAGAAAAATATTTTATTCATAGTAATTAAAACCTTAAAACATGCCATTTAAGAAACAATGATGGAATTTTCATTTTTTTAAAAGTTACGTCCTGTTGATGGCGTCCTCCTGTACGAATGCATTCTTGAAATCTGCTGTTGAGATTCCTCATTGACTGCTGCAACATCTCAGCTGGGATACTGTGAATTTCATCTTGAATTCTAAATGGCGAAATATTTACTTGCTCAAGGTCATTGTCTCGCAGTGTTGCCACTTGCTCATGTCTGGCAATACGCACTTTAAAAATTCCCGTTTTTTGGGGTCACCCTGTATTATTTTCGTTCTCATTACATTTGTAATATAATGAGAAGGAATCATCATTCATTGAACTCGGCAGAAGGACTGACACCAATAAAGAGACAAGAGTCAACTTCGTCGTCCTGTCTTTTTCACCAAAGCAACATACTCTGTTTGTCTCACAAATGATCCTCCTCATCACTGAAAGACTAATCATGATTATTTCCTTACAGTCATAGAGAAGAAATTTCTTTCATTTAACGATAAATAATTACAGTTAAAATTTGTGTATCTCATGTTTAAATGAATATCATTTTATACGAACACGTGACAAACTTCTCTCCTATTTTTTTATTCAACGAACAGTGACCCATGGAACATTTCCCCGACATAAATAAAGCAAACACTTTTCAGTCTAACTATTCTACGAGAATTACTAAATAATACTAATGTTTTATTCCTTTCTGAGATTGAGCGCGGATAACGGAATTAAAGAAGCCCAAAACTGTGGATAATCGGTCATCACTGCAGAGAAAAGGGGGAACTATATTCGAACTGGATGACATAGGAGAAAATAACCCAACAAGGAAAACAAAATAGAAAGAAAGGGGGGAAAAAAGTGTTTCGTGAAAAAGTAAACACAAAAACGTCCAAGCCAATTGGAAAGATTATAAAAATCTAAAAAGAAAACGGAAATAACACTGAACAATTTTACGCGCCAATCAACGAACGCTAAAAATATATATCTATTTATTAAAACTGACTTGAAGAAAATATAAATAAAAAATAAGAAAATAAAGCATAAGAAGAAAACATTTTTTTTTCTTTCAAAAACAGGTTTGGATTAAAAATGAGAATATCCTTGTCGAATGTATATTCGTGGTTCTAATTATATAAAGGGAAAAATAAACGGATACAAAAAGTAGACTTCAGTAATCGACACTGAAATCGGAAACATTCACACACTTCATGGTGGCAGACCCAGAATGACTCCGACGTGTAATGGTTAACAAGCGTGTCTCGCTAAATAATTTACGGCTGAGTAGCGTGTTCGACCCTCACTGGATGTCCCACACTTTCGGCCTTGTTCCACATCTAAGCTAAGCTTAGAAAGTCGCCATAGTGGCAGACCCGGAGAATAAAGACAATTAAAAACCTGCAGAGTCTGTCTATATTTCTGATATGAGCTATCATGTCCTCAAGGACACATGGCACAGTGGATAAAGGCGTTGGTTAGATCCAGTGACAGGACCCAAAGAGTGTGAGTTCAATACCCGGTTAAGGCTGTGGAGAACTTTCAGAGGGAAATTAGCAGGAGATAACTGATAACTGATATCCATCAAAAACATGGCACGTGGAACTAGAACAGTCTACCCAAAAAGTTCAGTTCGACATTCCAACCACCTGAAGAAGGCCGGAGCGTACAACGGCCGAAATGTTGAGCGAAATAAAGGGTTCAGTTCGAAATTCCAACCACCTGAAGAATGCCGGACCGTTGTGACAAATATGGCGACAAAGATGAGGACAATAGTCCGAATAATGTAAATAATGTACATAATACCTCATCTCTGAAATATAGACAGATACTGAAGGGCCGAAACGTTGTAATAAATATGGCGACAAAGATGAGGACAATAGTCCGAATAATGTAAATAGTGTACATAATACCTCATCTCAGAAATATAGACAGATACTGAAGGGCCGAAACGTTGTAATAAATATGGCGAAAAAAGATGAGGACAATAGTCCGAATAATGTAAATAATGTACATAATACCTCATCTCTGAAATATAGACAGATACTGAAGGGCCGAAACGTTGTAATAAATATGGCGACAAAGATGAGGACAATAGTCCGAATAATGTAAATAATGTACATAATACCTCATCTCAGAAATATAGACAGACTCTAAATGATTATTATTGCTACACAAATCCATTGTTATGAGATGTCCAATTCAAATTAATACAAATGATGGATCAATGACAGTTGCATGCCGTTTGTTATTTGAGTTTGGTCTGAAATCATTCAAAACTGGAGTCCTGGGTATGATGATATACGACAGGGGGCGATGGATAAATTGTTGTCTAAATTATGCAAAAAATGAAAGTAACACTGCCATTTCATTTTCACAGATATATCTACCGAAATTACACAAAGATATCTTGGAATTCTAAAGAGTAAATTTATTCAATAAAACTTTGGAATCTTCTACATCTTATCTGAACTGTCTCCTTCTTTACGTTGGTGAATGCTGCCATAACCCTTGCCTTTCGTTCACTTTTTGCGTTACAAGTGTTGTTGGTTACTCGCTTATCTGCGCCGCACATATAATAATAAAAGGAGTTGCAGTCTGGGGAGTTATGTGGCCAGATGTAAGAGGTGATGTGGTCGCAGAAACTACCCGACCATAATGACTTGGGTCACTTGCTTGTGTGCCGTGCTTGAGAGTTTTTTTTTTTTTTCGCCAGACATAGAGACTTCCAGCAGCCACCCACTTGACTCAGGGCAGCACCACCTCCTGAAGGCGGCACTTGGTGTAGGCCTCAGTGTTGAGAAGATGAATAGCGGCATAACATCACCATCACTAGTGATCACTCACACACCATCATGTTGACTGGGTATATCATCATGTTCTTTCCGAATTCTATGCATTGCCCTCAGATTGATACACCCAAACATACTGGAATGTGCTCCGGTGTCAATGTCAATGTCAAATTTCTGGTGAATTGCGTCATGGTGTACTTTTTCTCGCGGACAGTGCCTGCTATACTGTGCAGTTAATAAAATCAAAAACAAACAATGTGCATGAGTAAAATTAATGTTTATATATTC